CAGCTCCAGAGAAGTCTTAAAGGGACCTCAACTTACAGCGACACAGTCCACAGGCTAGGCGTCCCACAGGTAGTGTAGCCTGTAAATTGAGGCACAGGACAAGCATGGTCCAATGATCAAAGAGCGAGAGACAAGAAAGGCGAGACTCACCAAGCCATTATCTCTCTTCCCTTCAGTCAATCCCACTTGTGTTTATCGGCCAGGCTGGCACAATAAACTGTCTCAATGGGTATGATAGGCCTGCACTAGAAGGCTGCAGTGAGGATCCTCAGAGTGTCTGGCACAGTGCCGTTCCCCCCTGTAGAATGGAAAGACTGCGAATCAGACACCCTAGGACAATTCCACATCCGTTTTAGCCCCAAATTTCTGGAGACCCGATGTGCTGGTTTTGCTGTGTATATTTGAAACGACAACAAAATTAAAAAAAAATTTTTTTTTCTGTTGTTGTTAGTTGCCATCGAGTTGGCTCCGATCCATAGCGGCGACCCTATACACAACCGACCAAGAAAACACTGGCCAGCCCTGCGCCATCCTCACAATGGTTCGTCTGCCTGAGCCCATCCATGTAGCCACGGTGTCCATTTGTCTCTTTCAGGGCCGCCTTCTTTGTGGCTGCCCCTCCAGTTTACCAAACGTGATCTCCTCCAGGGACTGGTCTCTCTTGGGACGGCATAGCCAAAGTATGGAAGATGAAGTCTTGCCAGCCCTGGCTCTCTTTTCCTGAGGCTGCCGTAACAAACAGCCACAAACTGGGTAAACTTTAAAGCAGCAACATTCTCTGCTATTCTCTCAAAAGTCTGAAATCCAGGCGTGGGCAAGGCTGGTTCCTTCCAAAGGCCCTTTCTTCCCGCTCTTCTAAGGACACCTGTCATTGAATTCCTACCACCTATCTATCCATGTGGAACCCTGGTGGTGTAGTGGTTACCCGTTGGGCTGCAATCTGCATGGTCCGCAGTTCAAAACCACCAGCAGCTCCACGAGAGAAAACTGGGCTTTTCACTCCTTTCAAGAGTCACAGTCTCAGAGACTCGCTGGGGGTCGCTAGGAGTCAGCTTTGACTTGATGGCACGCATCTGGGTTTGGTGTAGTTTGTTCTGTCAGTGCATTACACTGTAGTGGTTTGTGTGCTGCTAGGATTTTAACAGCGATGCCAGTCGTGTTTCAAATACCAGCAGGGTCACCCATAGTGTACAGGTTCCAGCAGAGTGTCCAGGCAAACTAGGAAGAATAATCTGGTGATCAGCTTTAGAAAACTAGCCAGTGAAAAATCCTATAGGTCGCAACAGAACATTGGCAACTCCCTTGCGTGGGGACCCATGGTTGTTATTGTACACAGCCATCAACTGTGAGGCTGGCACAGAACTGGGCACTGGTTTGCTCTATTGTGCCTGGGATCTCTGTGCCTCAAGGTGAACTTGATTGCGCGAAACAGCAACAATGATGATTCTGAAGGTAGGCCACTTGGATTTCAAATACCAGCAGGGTCACCCACGGTAGATGTTTAAATAGAGCTTCCGGACTAAGACAGACTAGGATAAAGGCTCAAAGATTGACTTCCAAAAATTTGCTCACTCCCATTGAGTCAATTCCGACTCACAGTGACCCAATAAGACAGGGTAGAGCTGCTTCTGTGGGTTTTTAAGAATGTAGCTCTTTATGGGAGTCGAGAGCCTCATCTTTCTTCGGAAAAGTGGCTAGTGGTTTCAAACTGCTTA